TCTAGAAATTAAAAATCTTAGAAACATATGATATTTGTACATGCACAGATATGGAGAAAATCCTAGTTCCATATATTGTACAGCTAAAGAGCTCTCAACATGATGAGAGTCATTACAAAAGATGAGGCGGCTATGTCTAATTTTAGAATAGACCTCGCCAGTTTCAGTTGAGTTCTCTGTGACCATAAAACAAGCGTGTACAAGTGACCTCAAATTAACATTTTATCTCGCAATCGTCGATTTTTTTCATTCTAATGATAGATGTTCATAAGAATTAATAGAAAAATTAAAAAAGAAAAATTTCTATATAAGTTTTATTTTATTATTATGACCAATTTCACTTTTATAAATTTTTATAATCGACTCACGCGAGACAATTATCGACGCAACGATGAATAACCGATTCATGTTACACATAATCGCAAGAGGTCGCTTCAATAGCTCAGATACGACGCGCGATGAAGTTGTTGCATAGCTGTGAATGCGGTCAGTATTCGAATCGAGCAACCGATTGCAAGACACGTGGTGTCAACGCGGTGGAGGTCGACAATATTGATTCGTAACCGCAGCACAGTGATACACTGGTCACGAATGGCCACTAACAAAGAGGAAACGAATGATAGAGGGAAACTGAAGCTACATATATATCGCTTGATAACTGAGTTAAACGCTCCTAGTTACCTCGTCACACCTTCCAACTTCTGCAATCGATGTAAATGTCGTCCATGCAGTTCGAGTCTAATTCTCATCCTCGGCGTCTTTATTCTTCTCAATGGACGTTCAAGTTCTTTTTATCGATAAAAGTACTAGAAAAGTGACGTGATGAATTTTTATAAGTGTTTTTTTCTCAGATTTTCCGTTATCTAACTCTGCTCTGTCTTTTAATTATTCCTTGAAAGGTTAGATTGAGGTTAGAAATTCTAATCTGAAAATTGGAAAATTTAATCATAAATTTAATAGAAACTTTTAATCAATTTTTCATTAACTTTTTAATTTAGTCTTAAGAAGTTAAATCATATTAATAATTATATATATATATTAATTAGAATTAGTAACTAATAAAGATACTTTAAAATTTTAAATAGAGATAAAAAAATATACAAAAAGTATATATTTTTTAATCAATCTTTTATCAATTAAATAAAATTAAATTTGATATAAATATTAAAATATTTGTTTGTAAAAAAAGACAATTTTTGGATTGAAAATTCTAAATAAAGTTAAAAAAATATACAAATAATATACAGAAATTTTTTAAACAAATTTTTTCTATTAAAAAAAATATGATTATCAAGATTATATCATGATATACATGCTTTTTACAATTTTAAATAAGAATATTAAATAAGTCCAAGTTATCTATCTATTAGAAAAGATGACACTTCATTTTTCAAAATTATTCTAATTTCGTTCACCTCATGTTTTTTTTACAGATATATCAAAATCATTCTTTGTTTGCATTCATTTGAACAACATGAGATTCACAAATAAATGGATAGCATCGTAAATTTCACAATCGGTGCTAAAGTGAAATATCGGTTTGACAAATGATAAACGTGTTACTCCCACACGCGTTATCGTTAGTTTCATAAAACTTTAATAATCATTTTAATTACATTTATTTTTACGTTTATTTTCTTACGTGTATGTTTGAAATAACCTTATTTATATTTGACCTTTCGACAATACTTCTCATGCTCCTTTACTCCACAAGCACGAGAAATTGAAATTTAATTAATTCGATTTTAATAGGTGATTGAAATTTAATCATGTTACATCAATTAATCTGTATTTCTAAATTTAATCGAACTATTTGGTAAACGCAAGTATGAAAATGTATATAATTAATCTTCATTTTTATTTTAATTTGAAAAATTTTTAAGATGAACTAAAGATTTCCTTGGAAATTAATATTTGAAAAGTTTGAATTATTCAATTATTTGGAAAAAAAATTTCGAATAAATGATTGTCTCTAAAATTTATAAAGCGGATTCGTTAAGAATTTAATCCATCATATAATTCACAAATTCGACCGAAACGAAATTTAATAATTCCTTTTCCCATACAACTTAATACTTCGCATCAACATTTATCCATAATAAATACTATTCTCTTTATAATTTAATTATATCTTTTTAATAGAGATATCATTGATATTAATTATTAATATAAAAAAAAAAAAATAATTTCGATTTCAATTCTCGTCAAAGATTATAAAAAAAATTCGACAAAAATCAACAAATAACAGAAATAGAATTAAAGCAATCGAATTATTCATGATACATTTCTTTTTGAAACGAAAATTTCGTATATATGCACGCATACGAGATAACTTAACCTATAATAACTTAACCTTAATCGATCGAAGACTCTTAATTTTAATACATAGAGGATGATATGTGACAATTATATCGATTTTAATTTTCGATCCAAAAGACTATCGACTGGTCAATTAAGTTGAATCCATTGAATTCTCTTGAAAATTGAAACCTCTAGGTCATAATATACTATATATAGTATGTGTATACATATTCGTTCGAAAGACAGTCGCATGCAATTAATTTTAATGTAATCAACCGAGGTTACGTGAATTCGCTTGAGACATGGACTCAAAAAGATATATCGCACGTGAAACTGTATTAAGAATATTTACCTGGTGGTTTGAAAAATTTGTTTCGAAGTAAATAAAAAGTAAATTTAATCGAGATATCATTAGAAAATTATGTGATTATGAAAATAAATAATTTAAAAATAATTATGGGAAATAATTAATATTATAAATAATTCGGAATGGAATTCAGTATTAAAAATCAAAAATAAAATTGCAGATGCAACGAAAATGATATAGTTATATTAAAGACATAAGAAAAAGAAAAAGAAATATATTAAAAAAAAAATAGAAAATTTTTATTTATTTTTTTATATTTCTTGAGAAAGTTTATGATATCATTCGATATAGAATAGGAAATTTTTTGACTTTTATGTTCGTGTCATCTTTATTGTTAAAAAAAAAAAATAATTAATAAATAGATAATATGATAATTAAAAGATCTTTACACATAAGTATTTAACATCACAAAAAAATCTGGATGGAATTTAAAAAAGAAAGAAAGAATTTAATTAAAAGATTTTTAGAGAAATTTTAGAGAATATATTTTCGTATATTTTATATAGTGATTGTTTTTTTACCACAATTATATCGTCGTTAACAATCGAAATAAAATAAAAAATAAAAACAGAACAATCAATCGTCGATCACGATGCAAACTCGTTCTAAAAAAATTTAAAACATTTTAAATTGCCAATAACTTTTTTAATTGTAAAATAAATAAACTAAAAAAAAAAAAATTATATTTTTATTTAATTTATATTTAATTCTTATCTTCGAAAATTCTCTCTTTCAACGCTCATTTTAATTTTAATATTTTTCGAGGAACCATTCGATTATCGTCAAGCATACATAACCTGTATTATTCAAACGTCACGTTTGTCACGTTAGTCTGCTCACAAAACATTTTCAATGTTGCACACATATACATCCTATCTCGGTATCGACACAGAAAGGTATAAAGCCTAGCATGTGTGATCGATCAAAGAGGCAAAAAAACATTTTTTTTTTCCTCGCTTACGATATTTTCGTGCGGTGTACACATATTTTCGAGATGTGAAAGCTTCGATCATTCAAATGGTGCATTTCTATGGAATGTCACTGTATTGGAATTTCGATATCGATCATTTTTCGCCGACAAGGAAGGATAAGAATAAAAATTGACGAAATAATATAGTAAGAGATAGTATGATAAAATAAATATAGTACAAACAGTAAATATATAAATAATATAATAATAATATAAATGGTATAATATAGAGAATGGTATAACTATGGAAGGAATTTATTTTTCGTGTATAAATAATGGAAATTTAGAGATAAGATATTAAATAATATAATGTAGTTGTAATATAATTGATGAAAAAAAAAAAAAAAAAAAAAAAAAAAA